GGGCCCAAACCGAAAACATCTTCATGAAGCCTAAACCCTAAAACCCGAAACAAATCGAAAAAATCTTCATGAGCCCTAAACCCTAAACCCTAAACCCTAAAACCCTAAACCCTAAACCCTAAAACTCTAAAACTCTAAAACCCTAAACCCTAAGCCCTAAACCCCAAACCAAGTCCAAGTCTCTGGAAAGGTGGAGGTACAGTGCTGCCTGCCACCTTCCTTGCTCCTCGGCGTGGCCTTGGAGAAATCCTCGGGGCATCCCCAAACCCAGAGACTCCAATACCCCTTAATTAAGGAATATACTTTAAATCATATTAGGGATCCTACTATAATTTAAGGTTATTCCTTAACTAAGGAATTAAGGGGTATTGGAGTCTCTGGGAACCAGGGGTTTGGTGTTGCAGGGTTCAAAAGGTTTTTTTTTTTGGGGGGGGGTTTTTGGGGGTTTGGGGATTGAAGATGCAAAGGATCGCTCAGCAGCCTGCGACGCCACCCGTCGGGTTCATTCCACCCATCAAGTTCATTGCAAAGCTGGTCGCCGTCGACGCAGGTCTCTGCAGGCAAAGTCTGCTGAGGCCCGAGCAGGTCCGGCGCCCACAAGCACTTGGATTTTCGGGTCGAGCAGGGGGGTAACCCATAAGTGAAAGGTTTGTTTTCTTGAGCGCCACGTTTCTGGTCCTGCTTTTCGGGAAGCTTGAACTGACACAGCACCATGGCCACCACCACCTGCCAGGTTGTAACCAAAAAAGAGTGAGCTCACGGTTCCTTTGTGCTCGAGGCGTGAAACTGGAGGCGTTGGACGCAGCGGTTTTGTTTTCATTGTGTAGTAAGTACTGTAGGCAGCGTTGGCAAAGTTTAGGCGTCAGATTTTGAGTTATAGGATTCTGGCTATTAGGGGACTGGGATGCTCCTGCTATGGGTTTGATTTATGTTGTGGATCGAACTGTTCCCTTGCAAGTGTTGAGTGCTCTCGACGACATTCCAGGTGACAACGCGAACGCAGACGGCGAAGATATCCTGTGATCCGCTCTGCTGGACTCGAGTAGATGGAGTTGACAAAGGGTCCGTGATGATTGCCCTCGTTGTGATGGACAGCGTCCTGGGCCAGGAAGACTGGGTCTCGGCGGGTTTTGCGACGATCGACGTGACAGGCACCAGCTCAGCTGAGGAGGCCTTCCTAGACTATCTCGGCCAGGTGAACGAGACGCTGCTGGACTGGACGAGCTCCTTCAAGAGTTCTGGCTTGAAGATTGCAGTTGAAGCCATCCATCGTGCTGGGGAACAGCTGTTGAACATCGCTGATTCAATCAAGTCGAGGTTCTCCAAAGTGAGCAAAGAGCAACTTGACAAAATCAGGTCAGTCAGGTCGTTCGGCCAGCAGCGGCTCCTGTTTCTCGGCCGTCCTTGCAATGCCCTATGCCGAATCTTCCTCTCGAGGCCCCATCCTTCATCCAGCAAGCCGCCAGTCGTACAGCTTCAGGCATGCAGGACCTTCGCAGGGAGCTGAAATCCGTCATGGCAGAGGAAGATGAGGAAGCTTTCGCAGCGCATTGCCTGGAGGTCGATCGGGCCCTTCAAGAATTGAGGCTTTCGTTCTTAGCATTCGGCACAGCGCAAGGCATGGCGTCGGACGACGTAGAGCGCTCACGCAGACGGTTGTGGGAGGATGCTTCCAATCTTATGGAGTTCAAGTCCGTGGAGGTTAAGGCCAATGCGTCCTCGCAAGCACCAGCCAGCACAGCTTCCGCCGGCTTTCCTCCGACTCTTCTGCATCAGCTCAAGCCGTTCGTTGCGCCTTACGATACACCTGGCGTACAGCAGGCCACAGATCTCGTCAACGCCGTGCTGCGGGAGGCACGCAGGCTCCTGGATGCTATGCCTGCTAGGCTAGAAGAGCATGTTCGGGACGTTCTCTTGCGGGGTGCGAGGCATCTTCGAACCGAGCCGAATCTTGATGGTGCAGATGAGGCCGTGGCAGTCGCCCAAGAGATCCTGCAGCGACAGAACTCTCCTGGGTCATCCAGCTCGGCTGCGAGTGCGATGGCATCGATGGCCTGCGTGCGGGCAATGCAGCTTCCGGCCCCTGACATCATCTTGGAACTTGCAACGCGAGTGATAGATGCCTGGAAATCCGTCATGGCAGAGGAAGCTTTCGCAGCGCATTGCCTGGAGGTCGATCGGGCCTTGCAAGAATTCAGGCTTTCGACAGCGCAAGGCATGGCGTCGGACGACGTAGAGCGTTCACGCAGACGGTTGTGGGAGGATGCTTCCAATCTTATGGAGTTCAAGTCTGTGGAGGTTAAGGCCAATGCGTCCTCGCAAGCACCAGCCAGCACAGCTTCCGCCGGCTTTCCTCCGACTCTTCTGCATCAGCTCAAGCCGTTCGTTGCGCCTTACGATACACCTGGCGTACAGCAGGCCACAGATCTCGTCAACGCCGTGCTGCGGGAGGCACGCAGGCTCCTGGATGCTATGCTAGAAGTTCGGGACGTTCTCTTGCGGGGTGAGAGGCTTCTTCGAACTGGAGAGCCGAATCTTGATGGTGCAGATGAGGCCATGGCAGTCGCCCAAGAGATCCTGCAGCGACAGAACTCTCCTGGGTCATCCAGCTCGGCTGCGAGTGCGATGGCATCGATGGCCTGCGTGCGGGTAATGCAGCTTCCGGCCCCTGACATCATCTTGGAACTCGCAAGGCGAGTGATAGATGCCTGGCATCTTACCGCACATCGTGAGTTGCAGAGACATCTGGACACGGCTGCACTCCAGGATGCTGCCAATGTGATGAACAAGTTCGTCAAGCACCGCCAAGAGGTGAACGACCCGGTGAAAGCAAGGGTTCTGCTTGTGAACGGGCTGGTAACAACATCGCAGGATCCA